CGGTGTTCCTCAACCAGCAGCGGCTCAGCTCGCTCAGCTCCAGGATGGCCTGCACCTTCAGCCTCACCGTGTCCCCCGACTGACGGATCATCTCCACTATCTCGTCCCGGCTCTTGTTCTCCACGTTGCGTCCGTTTATCTCCACCAGCCTGTCGCCAGGCACCAGCCCCAGCGCCAGGTCCTTGGTCCCGGCGCCAGGCTCTGCAAAGTGGACGACACGCCTGTACACTCCTCCGTCAGGGCTGTGGTCCAGCATGGTGGTGCGACGCAACGAAAACCCGAAGTCGCCAGTGTTGCGCCGTTGGAGTTCCAGCTCACGGATCTCTGGTGCGCTCGGTGCGACCACAGCCGGCAGCTGAAGCTGTGCGGGGAAGGTCTTGTCGACCACCTCAGGGACGTAGACTTTTTGGGGCTCAGGTGCAAATTCAGGCTGCTGCCTCAAGCTGTGTTTGCGGAGCATGCTGAAGACTTTGCTCTCCACCTGCGGGGATGGGGCAGAAGAGTTCTGGCCTGAGGGGGTGGAGCTCTCCGAAGGGCTCTCTTCTTTACTCTTCTGGGAGAAGGAGAAGCGTTTCATCATCTGAGAGGAGTTGGTCTTGGCGAGGGAACCGAAGTGAGCAACGCGATCCCGTACCGAGCCTCGACGTCCATCTGATCCTTCCCCGCCCTCCCCCTTCAGGTCATCGGTGGAGCTGGCGGCGCTCAGCTGATCATCAAAAACCATGCTGCTGCGGTTGCTCAAGCCATCCGATTCTATGTCAGTGAGGGTGAGCTCGTTGCTGCTGGCCACTTTGATGGGAATGGGGTTGGAGATCTCCAGTTTGGTCTTGGACTCACGCTTGGACTCCCTCTTCAGGTTGAAGAAGCCACGACGCATGCTCATTTCTTCCAGGCTGCGCAGCTCTGCTGCAGACATCCTCTCCTTCTTATCCTTCTTGTCCTTCTTACTCCCTTCCCTCTCCTTGTCCTTTTTCATCAGATTAAACATGGTGACAAACTAGACGATGCCTTTCCGTCCACCGTTAATCTATTTTCTCTACCGAGATGGAGGTCCAGTTCAAAGACGCTTGTGTTGTAACCGACAGGGACAAACCCCCTGGGGAAAGAGAAAAGGAGAACAAACTGTGTCAAGCATATAAAATATTAATTAAATCAAATCTTGTTTTTAGCTGGACACAGCTAATAAAACTAATATATATTTAAAAGCCGATAATATAATGTTTTTTTTAAACAATCAAAAACATTCAGATTATTGATGTGACAATATTTTTGCCATGACTTTTAGGGCATTTGTTAAGGTTTGGGATCTTTTAAGTCAACATTTGTTGAGCTCTCTTTGAGAGCTCTTTTTGTTATTAGCAAAAATATATTTGAGAACTTAACACTGTGGGGTGCCTTCGCAGAGTCCGAAAGACATTAGATTAGGAGGACAATATAACGTGCTGTCATCTGGACAGCAATATCTGCTGCTGCACCACCAGACTACAGAGCAGCTTCTTCCCTCTTTAACTCATCTTTCAAACTCCACCTTCAAAAATAGCTTTGTTTTTTTCTGGTGCTGCATAAAGGGACGACAACTGCATTTTCTTGTGTAACCCTGTGTTGTACAATGACAATAAATCAGCCTGGGACTTTATCAGATATTACATTATGTGCAATTACATATAATCATTTAAGTATGATATTGCCTAGATTAGTGACATCATTGATAACGGGATATAACTACTAACGGAAGTGGCGAGCGTTTTAAATATCTTACTTCCCAGTAACATCTGGCTATTTTCTGGTTTATTCACTTTGTTGCAGAAATCTGCCTCAGAAGTCTCACAGCATTGTATAAGGTACAGGCCTACATCACTAAAGACCTCCAACACTCTGATATTTCATTGGATGTGCTTGGAAGGACCAAAACACATTGCTGGACTTGTCTTTTGACGGGGTCTCTCCAAACCCTCAAAAACTAGGAACTCTTCCTGCCACAAGCAGTCCGCAGATCCATCCATTCAAAATCTTGGAAAGAGCAGTTGCCAACCAACTCCACCATCACATGTCCAACCATGAGCTCTATGAACCCTTTCAATCTGCCTACCGGACCCACCACAGCACCGAGACCGCCCTGATCAAAATCACCAATGACCTCCTCACCAGAACTCAGCTGCCAGGGTTCTCACACGCACCAAGCGCTGGCAGCACATCACCCCCACTCTCTTCAACCTCCACTGGCTCCCGGTCAAGTCCTGCATCACCTACAAATTCCTCCTCGTCACCTACAAGTCCCTCCATGCCCTCTCCCCTCAGTACCTCATAGATCTCCTGCACCCATACATCCCGTCCCGCACCCTTCGACCCTCAGACTCCGGCCTGCTCTCCTTTCCCCATTCAATACAGTGCTTCAGGGTGCTGAAACATTACCACTCATCGCCTCAGGATTAAGTTGACATTTTAGAAAAATGTAGTGCTTCTCAATGGATTATATAGGAACAATTAAACCAGAACAGTAATACAAGTGTCCTAAAAGCTCCTTTTCACCAGAGGTGGAAGAAGTGCTTGGGTAAAAGAATTTTAGAATACTCTGTTACAAATAAAAGTCCTGAAATCTAATATAACTCAAAAGTAAAAGTGCAAAAGTATTAGCATCAAAATATACTTAGATTACCAAGAGTAAAAGTACTCAAGTCATTATGCAGATTGGTCCATTTCATTCGATATGTTTTATAATTATTGATAATTAAAGTGTTATCAAAGCTGGTAAAGTTGCAGCTAGTTTAAATTACTTTTTATACTGCAGGGTAGCTTGCAAATGTTATTCCAGGTATTCAAGTAACAAAAGGAATTAAATGAATGTAGTGGAGTAAAAGTATACTATTAACATTTGAGTTGTAGATGGGTAGAAGAACAAAGTAGCAACAAATTAGAATACTAAATTTAAGTACAAATCCCTCAAAATTGTACTTGAGTACAGTACTTATAAATGAGCTTTGTTACTTTCCACCTCTGCTTTTGAGTCAGTGACTGTTATCTTTGACTACAGACAGGGCCAGAGTGAATGTCAGCTTTAGTGTCAACATCACTGTGTGTGTGTGTGTGTGTGTGTGTGTGTGTGTGTGTGTGTGTGTGTGTGTGTGTGTGTGTGTGTGTGTGTGTGTGTGTGTGTGTGTGTGTGTGTAATAACCAGAGCTAGGGGACATTAAACGCTAACGGTGCTGCTGTTTAATGCTTTCTTCTGTTTATCTAATGGCTGCTGAGGGTGAAACGATGCTAACACCTGGCACTGAAGCATACACAAAGCAACATTTATTATCCCCACTCTGCATTTAATGTGAAGTCAGGGGACAAAAAGCATGACAGCGCTAAATAGGTGTAGCTTTTCGGCTACATTAGCGAGCCGAGCTACCGTTTCGTAGGTGGAGGGTAACGTTACCTAATAACAAATATTTGCCATTTTATTAAACCGCAAACAAAAAAACACCAGATATAAAAGCCATAAGTCATTCATAATGATTTTCTGCAACTTTGGACAGAGCCACCTAGCTAGCTAAATAGCTTGATTGGCTCCAGCCACAGCCTCGGTTCTCTGCCCTCTTCTTTGGTGGGGCAAATCCTGGAACAAGAACAATATACTGGGATCCTGTGAAAATTACCCAGTGAGCCCGATCGCCCGCCTGCCTCCACAAGGCTGGCTTCAAACACCCAGTACCCCACACACATGTTTATGTAGAAAGAAGTACTCACTGTTCTCCAGGACAACTATGGAGCACCGCTGGTGCCTTGTTTCTGGGCGCAGCTCGGCTCGTCAGGAACAGAAGCCGCAGACTGGCTTTCAGCTAGCGATAGCCGGCTGCTCCCACTGCCAGCCCCGCTCGGAGGCGCCCTGCAGCAGCCAAAGCCGCTCAGCGCCCCTTGCCGGGCAGACAGGGGGCTACAACTCGCATTTCGCACCACCCTAGTAACAGGATCAACACTACTAACACCATTGTACTTCAAGTCACTTTGTGCCAGACTGAAACTTCTAACATTGGACTAAAATGGGATTTTGTTAAGACATGCATGGTCCCCAGAGGATGAAATAATGGCTTACACGATCTCTTTCATTTACCTGCAGCTTATAATAAATGTATTTTGTCAAATATCTCTCTACCAGATAGTTTGGCACAACATTTGTGGTGAATATTGGTGGTGACCCCCGGATTTTGACTCACCCGATGATGGACATTTGTCACGTGTGCAAACATTCATGTTCTCCTCAATGTCAATTGCATTGTTGGAATGTAAAAAGTAAAAAATGTGGATATACTTTTACTTAAACATTTTTTAATATACTGTACACAGCATTTTAAAACATATCTAAAATTGGCTTCACATTGACAAACAACATTTAAATTATTTGACATGTATTTCCTACTGATATCCTAGAATAACTATTTATCGTGAATATATCATTTACATTTGACTGATAATACTTCTGTACTTAAGTAACATTTTTAATTCAGAACTTTGTAATGGATTATTTCGAGACCATAGTAATTTAACTTTGACTCAAGTAAAGGGCAAGCATGTTTTCCACCAATGGTCAATTGTTCAATTTGTCTAATACTTTTCTAAATGAATTCCTGTTGCCTTTATTTCTAGTGAGCAAATATTGCATGCTTCCACAACTAGTCTTCTTGATTATACATAGACCTAACATTAACTGTCATACCAGCCTCCAAGAGTTGAAGATACAATGTAAGTTTAGTCACTACCAAAACAAGACTACTATGATATATTATATATAGCTTAGTTGCCTCTCATTGATAACACAGCTGTAAATAGAGGTAAGTTAAGAATTTATGTTCTCAATCGTCATGTGTGGGATTGAATATTAAATAGGAAATAGTTGAGAGAGCTGTGATGACCTATGTTCACAGATTGTTTAACATTTTGTAATCTAAAGTATAATTTGATGATGTTCTTTACCCTTATCTGGCCATAAAGAATTCCTCACATGTTGAAACATAACATAAACTTAACATGTACATGTTATACATTTTTATTTCAATGTTTCACAAACAATTACTATTACACAATTAAGAGGACATTGTATTTTACAACAGTATTCAAACATATCAATGAGAAACATCCACACATTTTTTAGCTGCACTCAGTTTGTTACTATGGTTTGTGATGTGCGATTATGTTTTACTTATTTTTTCATCAATTTGCCTTGACACCAAAGTGTCTGCTGAACAAAACTGAATTTACTTAATTTATGATCTGACTGGGCATGATTATCAGTTGTTGATTTTCCTTTAAGAACCAATATTATGATTAAATGTGTAGCATGTTATATAAAAGAAAACGCTTATTTGTTGTATGGATACACATGAAATGAATATACAATATCAAGTAAATATCAATTAGCATGGAATCATTAAATGGTGTAATGGTTGGAGTCAGAAAAACCATGATTGGTGTAAGATGTGAGATCAGCCACACGGGGTCTACACCTGCACAGAGGTCAGGCTGATGTCCCCATCGATCTCCAAGGTGCTGATTTGTGTGAGGGGAGAGAAACGATGCCTATAGTTGTGGGCCTGCATCCCATTGGCCACAATCCTGAAGGAGTGACTCTCACAACAGATAGTCAACTGAAAAAAAAGGAAAAGAGGGAAGTTATAGATTTCTAAATAACTTTAAAATGGGCTCAGTTGAGTACCTGATTCTGATTGGTCAATTTGGACATTCAGCGGTCTGCTCTTTTTCTAGTAGACCGTTGCTAAGAACAGTCTGATCAAGGGGCTATGTGCAGTCATATCAATTTGCAGAAATATAAAGAAAAAAAGGAATGAAAAGAAGGAAAGAAAGTAGCCAAAATAAAAACACATTGGTTTTCCTCATCATAAAACACCATCTAACTTTGCACTGATGCAGTTTAATGTAACAATTCTAATTTTAATTAAATAATTATATTGTTATTGATATGTTTTTACGTTCATGTTAACATTTTATTTGACTGTGCTGTGAAGTCCTTTTAAAAAAAAAATGCTATACAAATAATTGACGATACAATGATGTACTAAATGCAGCCCCTATTATCAATGAAGTTCCCCCTGGTCAGTGTGTGTGATCAGTGTTTGCAGTGTTACCGTGAAATGCTTCCCCCGTTGGAAAGGCATCACTCCGCCTCGCTCCTCATTGCCCCACTGCCCCCCATTATTGGTGTTTCGGACCACAGTGTTCTCGTCGAGGCGTGCATTGTAATGCAGAGCGATGCCATAGGGATGGCTGAGATTCACTTTGAACCTGAGAGGAAAGACAGAGCACACCATGATACTGGGCCTTCTGAATGAATGCTTACTTAGATTCAAGTTTGTTTGTTTTGTCTTTGTTTGTTTAAAGATTATTTTTTGTCCACCATTACTATTATTCGAGCCTGGGTCGTATTCGCAACCCAGGTTAGTGGCCAAATCACATGGGGATTACATAACCAATGAACAAATAAAAGTCTAAGAAAAGGGGCCTGAAGACAGCACTGCCTTTTTATAAGGAAACACAGTTAGGAATTTTAAAGTGGCCCTAAAGTGCTTTTTGTATTTTTTCTCTTTCCTCTAGTTAGTTAATTAGGTTTTGGTGCATGTAAATGGTCTGCGATGGGAAAAATCCCAAAGTTTCTACCAGAGGGAGTTTCTCTCCCACACATCCCCCCCTGCCTGAAACACCTTGATTGGACTCCTTTGTTTATGTAACACTTGTGCTTCTATTGGCAAGTGCCCCAACACATTGCATGTGATAGGCTAAGGGGTGGGAACTCTCTTAGCAGTTGACCAATCACAACAGAGCCGGCCAGCTATCCATCAGAGCAGACTGGGCTCTAGTTTCAGACAGAGGGTGAAAAGAGGTGCTATGAGAAGAATAGTGCTTTTTGAACATTAAAGCATGTCACGGTAGAGGCATTAAATACAAATATGTATGTATATATATATAGATATATATCTATATATCTATATATATATAGATATATCTATATATCTATATATATAACTCTGTAGCAGAGACTAAGCCCCAGTACATGGCCCGTCCCAGATTTAAGTTTTTTTACAGGTCAAGGTCATTTGATAAATCGCAGGATCGACTACTAAACCAATTAAAAAATCAAAATTGAAGAACTTTTTCCTGAAAAAAGCACATTGGAATAAATGTGTGTGCAACCAACAAAGAATGTGGGTTTCAGTTTTATTTTCTGGGCAGCAACTTCTATTACGGTGCATCATGTGACTTCTTGACTTAAAAGTTGAGAAACCTTGACTAGAAACTTTGTTAAAGGAATGAGGAAACCTGACCACAGGAAAACAGAACAAAAGGCACAGTTCCCACACCAAGAGTTAGTCATGAGTTATGGGCAGGATGAACCAGATCCAGCAGCTCCTGAGGGTCACGCAGGTCAAAGACAAGACATCAACATGTCACACAAACCACATATTGTTTCCACTTGAAGCATGGCTAGCACAAATATGTCAGAGCTTGAATACACTCAATGGTTTGGGACTTCTCATCCTTTTTGCATGTTTTGGGACCATTGGTAGTAAATACAAGTTTAATTTAGGGGGTATTTGAGGATGTTTTTTGTTGTTGTTGCTTAGACATGTACATGTTTCTGTATAATACATTTAAAAATAGAGAGTTAGTCTCTATTTTTAAATACTTTCTGTGCAGTGTCTGGGCCCCTATTCTCAAGCTTCAGATATTTTTTCTGGGTGTCCCATTTCTCAAATCTCCATTCTGTCTTGTGATGGTTCTTGTTTTTTTAACTGTGAATACAGGTATTAAATTGAAGGTGCTGATTAATATTCCGGCCAAATTTACAGCAGACAATTTCTTCTTTATGGTTAAAGTTGTCCAGTTGAGAACAACTAAAGTAGTTTTTTAATCAAATACTGGACTTAATTGCGATATGAGGTACTTAAATATGATAAATATGGTCGAGAAATTTCATTTATATATTCTGAAATGGGCCATTAGGACATTTAGTACTTTTGCTACTAAGCATATTTTGAAGACCTACTTGGCAATAAACCTGTTTCTGACTCTGATTCTGATCTGTATTTGATTATCTGTCTTTTACTGGGTTCAATATTAGTCCTTATTTCTGATTTCCGCTACATGCATACAGTAGGCGTCAGTTTTGAGGTGAAGTGTCGTATTGTGCCAGTTTTATAATTTGGCTTCATTGGTATTGGGTCAGACCTGATGGCCTCGGGGTGAACCGTCCCCTGGATAGTGATGGTCCGGCCAGGCATTAGTCCACCACTGATCATGCTCTTGTATGGGACAGCCTGTACAGAGAGGAAACAAGAATAAAGGACTGATACAAATATCCATTATTAAGTTAATTTATTGATGACTAGGGACTACAGATGAAAAATAGCCTCTTGGCTAAGTCTGGCACATTTACAGAAGTGTTCATTAATGTGCACTGTCCCTGTTAAATAAATGAATAAATAAAAAATAAAATGAAATTTGATGACAGTGATGATGGTTTGTTAAGTTGTGAAAGTCCAAAATATATCAGGTAACAAAATGTCGTAACGTGTGGGTTCACAACACATCATCCTGTTACACACCTGTACACACACAGTTCAGAGAATGTCACCAAGCCTGTTCATTATGACAAAGAAGTCCCAATTTGGATCACTCAATCTTGTTTACTATAATGGTTTGTACCCAGAATTAAGATATTAGGCTGATGCTATTGCCAGAAATGTATTAAAAGGATGCCAAAATAACGTCTGGTTACGTATGGTAACCCTTGTTATATAAGCACAGTGGAGCCCTTTACTGGACTCTATGGGTACTCCCCCTTATCCTATCATGCACGCATTCCTTCACTGAGGCTTCCATAGACGTAGCCGGCCCCTGTGCGGGCCTACCTGAATGCGCGCGCATCCACTGCATCGCCCGCTCACTGCTATCCCTGTACTTTCTCTTCAGCTGAGTAGCATAGGACACCCCCGTTGCCCCGCATCGGTCAGCCCGGATGTTTAAACAACTCGGGTGCGCCGATAAAGCGGTGGCAGGACGAGATGGCTGCTGCATACACTTTCACTGTGGAATGAGCAAGCCCTCTGTCCACCAACAACTGTAAGTACGACAAAATAGACCCCAATTTACAAGACAGGGGCTCTATTTCTCACTCCTCACACCATCGCAGGAATCCCAGCCACTTCGGCCTGTAACAGGCTGTGGTGGATCCTGCTCTAGCTGCCTGGATAGACTGAATAACGCTATCAGACAATCCACCCTGCCTTAGCCTATCCCTCTCAGGAGCCAAGCCTGGAGAGGGTGGCCCAGAGTGGGTAACGCCCCGATTGCACCTGCCTCCTGGGAGATCGCCCCCCAAACTTGGGGGAGCGCCCAGGGCTGGCCCGCCTTCATCTGTGTCATCTCTGAGTACCACGGCGCCCCTACGCGATCCGGTGCCACCAGGATGACTGACAGACGTACCCGCCTCACTCTCCGTAGGAGAGGAAGAATGAGACATAACGGTGGAAAGGCGTAAAGCAGCTTCTTTGGCCATGGCTCGTGTGCAACGCGTCTACCCCCAAAGGCGGGTCGTCGCTCAGAGCCATGGAGCACAACAGTGTGCAGTGAGTGTTGCGCCCTGGCTGGCGAACAGATCCGTTTCACCACCTCCGGTTGAAGCGCCCACTCGCCTGGCAGGGGTCCGCCCCTCGGCATGAGGTCGCCCCCCCTGTTCTCCAGACCCGGAATTTGGAGGGCTCTCAGAGATAACACCACCTCTGCAGCCCATAACCACAAGTTCCCCGCTGCCACTGTGGTGCTGTTGTCGCTCCTGACCATTACATGTTTTCCCTGGATTAAGGGTTTGAAATGTTGAGGACTAACACTGCTGCCCGTAGCTCTAGGAGGTTGCTGTGCCATGTCTCTGTTAGAGACCAGCGCCCACCTATAGCTCTCCCCAGGTAAAAAAACGCAAGTACTTTCTGTGTTTTGGAGCAATCTTGACATAAAAGTAAGCGTCCCTCAGATCGATAGTTGTAAACCAATCGCCTGGCTGCACCAGTCCCAGTAACTGTTCACAGTTAACATCCGGAATGTTTCGCGTGCAATGTGGAGATTCAGACTGCGAAGATCCAGAACGGGTCTGAATTCGCCTGTCTTTTTGGGAACCAGGAAGTACAGGGAATAATGCCTCTCTGTGTTGCGTGCACACAGCAGACACTGCCTGTTTTTGCACCAAGGCCTGAACCTCTTCTGAGAAAAAAAACTGGAGTGAATAACTCAGTCTCAGCGTCCTGTTCATCGACTCCGTTAACACGTAGCTGTGACTCCATTCCCCATAACACTATGATAGGGGATGTGCAACCAGCTGTGAGGCCCCAGCGATAAAGCTGTGGTACTCTCTGGNNTTTTTTTTACCATTTTCAGACTCTTAAAGACCATAGGATGTAAAGATTAAACAAGGAAGTAACCAGCCATTTATTTGATAATGATATTAGCTGATTCTTGCGACCCTGTGTTTCATTTAGACATGTATCTGTCATACTTTCACGCTTACCGAATAACTAACAAACTGGGATGGATTTTTTTTTGTACTATTTTCTTACATTTCATGGACCATAAAAGTAATGGATTAATCAAGAAAATAATCAGATTTGATCTTTTAATTGAGGATTTAAATAATACCCTATACTACACGCCTGTCATTGAGACATTTATCTTTCATACTTTCACACTTGAAATGCAGGATATTGCTCTGTTATGGATGAGCCCTTCCTGTTTGTTTCTTAACCCCCTGTTCCGTGGGAGAGGATGTATAACAAAAGTATAACAAAAGTCTGATGGGGGTCTCGAGCCCTCAACGTGCTCACACACACACACACACACACACACACACACACACACACACACACACACACACACACACACACACACACACACACACACACACACACACACACACACACACACACACACACACACACACACACACACACACTTCCGCCTGATAGCATCTCAGTGCCCTTGCTGGTGTGTTTAGTGCTCTGATTCTTAACTAAACCACAATGAGTCTCCTCATCCCCCGTAAACACTGGGGCTTTATGAGCAACAGGTGGGTTTGGATAAAAAAAGAATTAACACCATGTCCTTCGACTTCATTCATATAAGGGACCTTATAAAGTAATATCCGCTAACAGCATGCAATACGGAATAAAATAAGGGAATTTCTTTATGCTGTTAACTTGATTGACTACACACTCCTTGCTTGTCTTCGTTTGTTCGCATTCTTGTACTGGGTGGGATCTTATGTCCCAAACACTCGGTGAGGAAAAAAGGAGAAAAATTCCACCTCTTGTCGTGTACTTTCAGGAAGAAAAAATAACAGTGTAACATTTTTCAAGAGCGTAACATGTTGACATTGAACACGCACTGTTTAGCTGTTCAGGGTGTCCTTCCTGAGGAGCACAATAAATATTTGTGTTCCCTGAATACCTGCATGTTCTCTTGACGATCACTTCTTCTGTATTGTGGATTTCTGAGACGGCCGAACACTAGAAGCGGGGCCTCTTTTCTACGAGGGGCCCCGCGGAGTTAAGGGTCACTGGTATCAATTTAGTCTGAACAGGATGTGACCGCTTCTAACTGAGCCCCTGCTTCTCAGAAACCCAGATTCTCCTTCCTCATATATCCCTCCAGCCTTCCATGTTATGATGTATTTTCGGCATTTGCATATATTTAGGAATTACAAAAAAGATTAGGAGGAACTAAAAATGAGGTTTGCAAGATTCTGAAAAGTAGGAGAAACAAGCCTAATTCAACAAATCATGAGATAATGCTAGAAAAACAGGTCGTAAAAATATCACGGAGACGCTTACCATCCAGATCTTCTGGTCTCGTCAGGTCAATCACCCGATGCACCATTTTCCCAGCATCCTCCCCGAGCTTCCCCAGGTGCTGGCTCAGCGTCTCATAGTGCAGACGCTCCTGCAACACAAGAAATAAATAGAAAATGTTATAAGCTGCAAGTGAATATGATGCAACTGAAGCATTGCTGATTTCATTCAGTCATTTTGTTCACAAACAGCTTAAAAGACAATCATCAAGGCATAATGGAGATTTGTGAAATGGGACACGCTAATAGGTATCTGAAACTTTAGAATAGGGGCCCAAACACTGGAAAGAAAGTATTTAGAATATACATGACTAAAATATCTGGAATTTGAATGATTTCCTCTTAAAGGTGGGGTAGGTAAGTTTGAGAAACCGGCTCGAGATACACTTTTTGTTATATTCCATGGAATGCTCTTAACATCCCGATAGCAATGAATATCTGAAGTGCTTTGACAAAAAATCCATAAAAAAATGTCATCTGTGGAAGCCTGTGGCGCTGTAAAAAGCACGACCAATGAGCCGGCCCGGCTAAAGTAACTGGATGGCCTACCTGCCTGTCAGCCTTCCATCTGTGCACAAACTTATCTCGAGCCCTCATTGGTCATGTGCGCGTTCGTGTGTGTTGGAGGAGGGGCTCTGTAAGGAAGTGGCAGATTTTTTCCGGCTGTGTATTTTCAAATTCTAGCGCACTCGAGCTGGTTTCTCCAGAATGACCTACCCCATCTTTAAGTTCATGTAATACAAAGAATTATTACAAGATTAAAAANATAGTCAACATCTGGAACGATTTGCGTGCAATGTGGAGATTCATACCACGGAGATCCAGAATGGGCCTGAATTCGCCTGTTTTCTTGGGCACCAGGAAATACAGAGAATAATGCCGCTTCTCTCTGTCTTGTGTGCGCACAACAGACACCGCCTGTTTTTGCACCAAGGCCTGAACCTCTGCTGAGAGAAAGCCTATCTCCTTTCGGGATGATAGTTTTGCCTCTCTTATGCCTGTAAACGGAGGAGGGGTGCTGGAAAACTGGAGTGAATAACCCTGTTTCAGCGTCCTTTCCATCCACGCCATTAACATGCAGCTGCGTTTCCATTCCCCGTAACATTGCATCAGGGGATGTGCCAACTATTGTGGGACCCCAGCAATAAAGCTGTGGTATTCCCTGGTGAACCGTCCCGCCGCAAATGTTCCCGTGAAGGGAACATTTGCCCATGGGGGGTCGACACGGAAAGGGCCGACTCTCTACTGAGGTCTTTGAACGCAGAATGGTGCACTCCCTCGGGAGCGTGCGCTCAGCCATGATGTTTTCACCCGAACAGTGAAAAACATCAAGTGGAGTCTTCACACTTGGCATAACTTGTTTCCTAACCCTGTTACGCCTGCCATAATGTCCCTGTACCCTCTCTCCGCCTTACTAACGCC